AAAATTAAGTCTCGACTGATAAAGCTCAATAATAATAAAATTAAGTCTCGATGATGTCCGCATCACATTCTACACTTGAATTTTCCATATTCTATAAACATATTCAAACCTTCTTCAAGTTTTCAACAAGTTCGAGTACAAATAATCATTTTGCTTTTGTGCTTATTTCTTGAAGGCTTGTCAATTCTCCAAACTATTTGCCGAAAATCCTAAAAGCATACTAGAGGAGGCAAATATCGTTTTTAAGACAGCGTATCATATATTTGTTTGAGCCTCATTCATCATTTTCATCTTACTCAGTTTCCATGTCTTTCTTCTCCGCTTCAATATTTCCAACAATGCCTTCTCTGGACTCAGAGACATCATCAAACATGGCCACCAATTCGTTCTGATGCTCTGACAAAGCCCATAGACTATCTGATGCTGAACAGACTTATAGAATTCTTCTACCAGATCAAGTTCACCATTGTTTCCCTTGTGGATCTCATAAGTAAAACAGAGTTGACATCCTTTACAAATTAGTTATTAGTAAGCACTTGTTTATCTCAATTTTCTTAAAAAATGTTGTACCTGAAGAATGCTTTCGCTAAATACTTGCATATGATAATTTATATAGGACATGATGCTATTTTGTATTTTCCTTGTGAAATAAACTTCAAATGCATTCAATTGGTCATCCCTGAGCTCTTACAGACTGCAAAATATAGATTTGAATCTACATGTCTTAGAGCGTTAATGAGTCTACAAGCTTCATACTTCGGAATAAAAATGTGTTTGAATGGGTTGTCGTACAAAGAAAGCATTTAAGAAATCATGGATGCCATAACCCTGCAATGTAGGCTGTTGAGGCATAGAAATATATAGTATTTGTTCATTTTCAGGAGGGGGAAGTTGGAGCTGTTGCTATAGTTCATTCTTACGAAGATGGCGTTCCACCTGGCTCTCAACAACCAAGACTGAATGCTCTTAATGTATGTGTCTCAACACCATTTCCATGGTCTTTTATGATACCTGAATCTTGGCTTTGATAGTTTATTGTTTAGTCTACTCAAGTGATGCTTAAATGATTTTAACTCTATTTGAAATGCCATAAGAGTATTTCTTCCCACGAATATGTGCTTATTATAGGTAATTTCTTGAGTATCAGCAGTTGTTATTTCTTCTGATCGTGTTTTCCAGTTGACTTTGTGAAAGATGGTAGGTGCTGCTTGTTACGGTTCTAAAAATAGTGGTGAAACCTGAAGTTCACTGTGACCAAACTTTTCTTTGATCATCTTACCTTCAAGTTATAAACAGAAATGTATTATGTTATGAAGAAATTGGAGCTCTGAAATTTTTTTGTTTTATAGGTGAATAGAAGACAAAAAGAAGGGAAAAAAAGAAGAAGTTGTTTTAAGTGCCATAGGGTCTAGTGCAATAGATTTCTGATAATTTCTTGAAACAGGTTCCTCCTATGGGTTTGTCTACCCTATCTATGCTTTTGGTTCCAGACGTGTATCCTCCCTCACCCCGTTCTTAGGGAGTTTTGAGTTTCTATCTTGTAGATTTTGTTTTATATCTTCTGATTCACTTCTCCATCTCTTGAGCAAAGTTCTGTTCTTCCCAGGTTTAGTGATTATGAGGATATGCTGGAAGAGACTCGAGACTTTCCCAGAAGAACTGACGTGCTGATGGCTACTTCCCTGGCAGCAGTGGATTTTTCCCCATGTGGGAAAGCTGCCCAAAATTTCAAAAGAAGCCAAAGAAAGAGGATGATATTGGTCTTGCACATGGTATTACAAAGAGAATTCTTTCAACAGGTAGATTTTAATTTCATTTACGTGCTCAAGTGTTGTACATTTGATTTGCTTCTGTTTGACTTCTTTGGATTCCAAAATGTCATGGCGTATAGACCTACAGAGAAAGTTGTTTTTGTAGCATGCAACTGGTGTCTGGTGAGTTCTACTCTCCACCGTAAGTTCTTGAACAAAATTTTCACCTTTTTTCAATTTTTTTGCCAAGTTGATGGAATACATGACATGATTTAGTTTTTCAGATAGGTGGAATAGCTCTGACTGAGGGTATTGTTCCTGCTGTGGAACAGAGGTTTTTTTAATAGCTTAAAATTGATGTTTTCTTGAGCTAATGCAATGAGTTGTATGAATATGTGCAAATGGCAATTGTTGAACCTGTCCAAAGTTCATTTAAATATGTCTGATTCCCTTTTCCAGCATATTTTCAACACTAAACTTTTTGACAAGCATGAAATTATTTATTTAAGTGGGATTAGTGAATGCAATCATATTAATTGGATGAATTATATTAATTTCTCTTTCTTTCCGCTGTCAAAATTTTTGGACATGATATTTGAGTGATTCCATAAAAGCTAAGAAATCAGTGAACAGAAGAATCATACATGAAACCTCCTATCCTCTATCATGATATTGTACTTCTTTTATTGTTTCTTGGCCTTTTGTTTTGTTAACCCAGATTGCTTTGCAATGTTTCAAAGGTCTTCAGGACATTATTGCTATCCCTGGATTGGACAAATTATGCAAAGAGGATCATTCAACCATTGCAAGCTAGCAAAATCGTGAAAAATTGCGTTCGAATCTTAGTTTTCTGGCCTCCTTAAAAGTGCGAACAACTTTGAAAATAAGCTATAATTAATTTTTTTCGTACATTGCCGTAATTTTGTGCAGCTTTAGAATTGCACTATTCGCCGATTTGTAACTGCAGTTCTGGATTGTGCAGCTTCAAATCTGCCTAATTCCAGATTTAATTCATAGTTTTTTAATTAATACTGTGGAGGAGTTTGTGAAAAAGCACTTGCTTGGGTTTTTTGAGCTGAAAGCAAAGACTCAGTGGTTTCTAAAATTTATCCGATCTGGATAATTTTTACGATGTTTCATAAAAAATAATTGATATTGAAGGATGAAAGGAGATTCTTTTAACAATCGCCAAGAATTGTTCAGAATTCTTGTGAATCGTTTGTATTTTCTTTTCGCTTGTGTTTCTAACATCCTTAAAGGTGAAGCGCCTTACAAAATCAGAAGAGTAGTTGTATAACTCCCAGTGAAGATTTAGAGAAATGCCATGTTGATAACCTTTGAAGTTCGTACTAGAAATGAACTCAACTCGTGGTGTCTCTGTAAGAATGTTTGTTTAGCCTGGAAAAGTCCGTCTTATTCCTAGTTGATATCGACAATAACTGGCAAGATCAAAGCCAAAATCAACTCTCTTAAACAGTTTCTTTTCCTGTTCCATTAGTTCAGGAATGACTCTGTAATTTATGTCTCTAAGTTGAAGATGTGAGTGGTAGTTTAGGACTGAATCCCATCCCAGCAATATGAATTACGTTCATGTGGGTGGATAATTTAAAATCCCACATCGGAAAATATGGGAACTGGAAGCAACGAGGCTCTTTACAAATAAGGCTTGTGGGCGACCGAAACAGATTAAAAGGGTTGGTTGGCTAAATATGCCACGCTAGCTCTCGTTTAGCTAGTGCTGTATGGCTATCAAGACATATGGCCGACATAATTTATGGAAATCATATAGGGTTGGCTCGCTTGGCCGACCCTCCAATATTTTACTTTAAAAAATTTCTCTGATGAGCAAGTAATTTTAGTCCTGAAGTTTTAAATTTTAGCCTCTACGAAAGTCAAAGGAGCTTTGGATGGTTAGCTGACCTACTAAATATGACGTATAAGGATTTTTGGATGGTTAGTTGATAAAAAGTCAAGTATTTTTATTATTTTTAAAAATAGTAACTTCATATTTTCCAACCTAAAACAATTAAGATGATTGAATAAGAAGAAAAATTAAGATGAAGAAATATTTTCCTTTTTTTACTTTTTTTTTTCTCATTCTTTTATTTATGAGTTTTGCTTCTTGTACAGTTTTAATTCACAGTCATTTTCACAGTTTTTTGAAAAATCTGACGTGGCAGTGTAAATAGTTAAAAGACCCGGCCCAACAAAAAAAAACCCGACCCTGTTCATTATGGGGAATGACTCACGACTCTAACCCATTTCTCCCCCCAACTCTCGAGAACCGATTCGCTCCAGCTTCAACATTCCAGCCATTGAACCCATTCACCGATGGATCTCCGGCCTCCCCAGCTGTGAAACTGTGAAGTAAAACTGTATAAGAAGCAAAACTCAACCCAAAAATAGAGACTGAGAATCAATCAATCACTTGTACAGATGCACCATCCTGTGTTAAACTTCTATTGGGATTTTCTTGATTTTTTTTTTTTCCTTTCATCTATCTTTCTCTCTCACACGCTTCATATTTGTGCCTTCCTATTTTTAGGCTCTATGCACCTCTCATCTCCAACCAAACGGTTCTTTGAGTTTTTTCCAAATTT